GTGAGGGCGCTGAGGGGGCTGTGAGGGCGCTGAGGGGGCTGTGAGGGGGCTGTGGGGGCGGCTGGAGCCTCGTCGGAGCGCTGGGCTGGGACACTGCCCCCTGTCCTACGTCTGCTTGCCGGCCGTTCTTTGTCTCTCTCTCTCTTCTTAAATTTACACCATTTATAATCCGGTTTATTTAATTGTGTCAATTTAAAATCTGTCCTGACAAAGCAGAAGCTGCCCTGGTCGTATTGGGAAGCAATAGAACCTTAGGGGTTTTACCTTTTAAATGCAAACTTAACTTGAGGGAATGGACAAGCTAAAAAAAAGTGGGATCATTTTAGGTTAAAATATTTTGCCTCTGGGTTAATGTTTCAGTGTGTTGATTTATTCATTAACCTGTTTTAATTATTTGAACAAAGGTAAAGACTGAAACAATATTTTTGATTTCAGAAATCCTTATATCCTTGTAAGAGATAATGAAACCTAATTTTAAGAAGTGTGAGACAGATAACTTATTTATTTATTTGGACATTCCCCTTGACAATGTACAGGTTCATTTTGGTGATGGATAAAGAAGCAACTGCTAAATTGCCATCTGCCGTGTTCACCTTGAATGCTATTAAAGGGCGTAGGAAAAAGAGGGATGGAACATTACAAGCTGCAAAATTGAATGCTTCTTTAGCTTCTAAAATCAAAACTAAGTTAATGAGTAAGTACTGCTAAAATAAAACTGAAGCCATCTACTGTACTTAGAATGTATGGCTTTAAAAGGAATAGTAGTTGTATTTAACATGATTTGCTGAAGTGCTGCCTGTTAAAAATACTAACTTATGTTGAGAATTTTAGGAGAGTCTGAAAGTTAAAATGTGATTGTAAGTTGTTTATTTATATAGTTCTCAGAGTATTTTGGGTCCGTGCTTCTTGGTGTGCTAGTGTTTTTGTAAAGAGTATAATCAAATGCATCTACAACACCCATGTCCACAGCCATGCTTGGGGCATCTGAAAACCGAGGACTCAAAATGAGTAAAATCAATGAACTCTTAATATATAGTTGCCATGGTAAAACACCTAGTATTCCCATCTGCAAAAATGGGATTTATATAAAATTATTCAACGAATAATTCAATGAATAATTTTATATAACTTACTGAATCTAAGAAAACTGGAAATATTAATCTGTTTGATTTAATCACTTGTCACTTAATCACTGGGAAACTTTTTTTTCCCAGTTACTCAATATTACATTCAAACATAGGTCTGCCATGGTAAATGGCTGGGGTTTGTTTCTGGCTCAGACAAAAATACCACTATGGAACATCTCAAGAAACTTTTCTGCAAAAGATTGGGACACTATAAATGTAGTGAAACTCTGTTATCTGAGAGCTCTGTTTCAAGCAGCATGTTCAGTGAACGTTGATTTCTGCTTCTCTTTCTGTGAGCGGTGCAGGAAGATTTTTTTTTTTGTTGTTTCTATATATATTTATATATTTTTGTTCTTTTTGTATATATATTTTAACTTACTGTGGCTTTATGTAAAAATACTAATTTTCAGTGAAAAATAAACTGTATAGATGAATAATGCTAGTGTCCTTTAGAAATCTCCACACTGCAGTAATACAAATAATTCATAATTCAGTAAGATTAATAGTAATTTCAAAGCCTAATGTTTGGAATAAGCTTCCACTGTTGTTGTCTGTTTCCCAAGGCAAAGAAATAAGGCCTTGCAAATGTTGGATAACAGATCACAGAACTAAAAACATAAGACAATGAAGAGCTGTAGTAGAAGCAGTTTTCAAACTAGCCTCGCTCCTTTTTGTGCTCTTTTAGAGTATTGTCAGACTTTTCTCTGCTTTGGGTTCAGGTTAACTATGTGCCTACTGTGAATGTGAGGGAAAAGCTCCCGACATTTTGGTAATATGCAGTGCCATTGGAAGAAAAAAAGTTAAGTTCTTAAACATTCTGTAACAGATATGTGTAGGTAGGTTTTCATTAGGATGGTGGAAGGTATATTTTGAATTTAAAGCTTTTTATATTGTCAAAACTCCCATTCATTATCAGAATGTTTCAATACTTTAATTTGTAAAATGCGTAATTTTTTTAGAAATTTTTAAACATTTTTATGGCCATGAAACTGTCAATTTTTAAATGCTTTCTTCTTAAAAGAACCTTAGCAGGACCTGTGCATGAAATAAGCTTGAACATGAAACAGGCAGAGCAGTCATCAGACTGACGGCCACAGAAACAGTTTTGCACTGGAAAGTGTCCGGCTTTGCTGTCGTTGCATCAAAACCTGCAGAGAAAAATTTGTTGCATAGTGACAGTTCACACAGAGAGGGCCTGGAATTGAAGCTGGTGAAAATAACAGCATTTTTTTTGTCTTCTTTAGATAACTCATCTATGTTGAAAGTATCTTTACAACAGAATAACAGAGCATTAGCCGTGGCTTTAAGTGTTGAGAAAGAAAATTCTCGC